CGTCCCCCGCGGCCGCCGGCCCGGCCCGTCCCCGGCCTGCCGCGCTCTTCGCCTTCGTCCCCGGCGCGGCAGCCACGAGGCACTTCTGGTACTGCACCTGCGGGGACACGAGGGGCAGCGCGGGGCACACGGCACCGGGGTCAGCCCTCCCGCCCCACGGCTGGGCGCCTCCGCCCGCCCAGCCCCGGTGCCGCCGGTGCTCACCATGCAGGCGGCCTGCACTGCCTCTGAGATGGTGCCGGCGTCGGGCTCGCACCAGAAGGCCGCGCACTGGAAGCGTCGCCCCGTGTCCACGATGAGCGCGAAGGTGTGCGCGTCCCGGCCCACCCCCAGGAAGGTCACGTACCGCACCTGGCACTCCCAGATGTGCGCCGCCTCCTCGGGCTCCTGCGGGGACCCCGCGGGCCCATCCACCCCTGGCCGCCGCCCGGGCAGCTCTGCCGGGGGCAGCGTCCTGCCCGCTCCGGCCACAGCCCCCTGCCCCCTCCCCACCTGCGCCGGGTGCACCCTCATGGCCGTATCGGAAACGTAGATGACTGACGGCGTCCAATTCTCTCGCCCAGGGCTCCTCGTCAACTTCTCGATGGCTTCGTTCAACACATCCATCCCTGGAGAGAGGGACACCCCAGCCCATCGGCCTCGGCTGCGGGCATGGTGCGGGCAGGAGCCGCCCCACGGCTCGGGGATTGGGCTTTCTGGGCGTCCCCCAGCTGCGGGGGAGYAGCTACGCTTACCCATGGCCCTGGGCACGGGCAGGCTACCGATGTACAGYGCCTCGTAGGTCTGCATCGACTGCCTCACCGCTTCTAGGATATCCACTGCCAGGACGGGAGAGGTGGGGCTACCCTTGTGTCCCGCACTGTGTCCCCCCATCCCCAAGGACCTCGGGGAAACAGCCGGACAAGCCAAAGGGCTCAGGCTCAAAGACAGACTGTGAGCCGGGGGAGCAGCCGGCAGTGCTGGGGGACGGTACCTTGCAGAGGCAGATCTTCGGTGGAGATGGGCTCCAGCGTGGCGGCGCGGGGCAGCCTGCTGCTCGCTACGGCTCGCTCGGCCACGATCTGCAACAGACGGGGTCCCGGTGCCTCCCTTCATCCCTGAGACCCCCAGGGCATGCTCACACCCTTCAGGGCCCCTGCATCTCACCTTGGAGCACATTTCATGCAGAGCCTTGGCGATGCCCTTGGCAGGCACATTGCAGTGGAAGACGTGACACTTGAGGACGCASGTGTCCTTGTCACTGGCCACAAAGGCAAAGTCTCTGCAAGGCCACAAGCAAGCCAGTGAGATCCTGACAGAGACAGCCCCCTCCCTGTACTGCCTCCCAGCCCTGTGCCCCCTTACCTGTCCCTGCAGCCATGGTGGCAGTTGGGAGGGAGGAGAGAACAGGTCACTGGTGGGGTGCCTTCCCCCAAGTGGGCGGAGCCACTCCCCTGGCCCCCAGTTTTGCCCTGGTCCCTGGCACCTGCCGTTGTTGCAGCCAACACCCCAGACACGGATGTTGAGGATGGGCTGGCGGTGGATGAGGCTGCGGTCGAGGGGGTCCACCAGGCTCATGGTGTCCTTCTTCAGAATCATCACTAGGTCYTGGCCCTGCAGAGGGGCAGTGGCTTCCTCAGCCTGGCAGACAGCCTGAGTATCCCCAGCACTCAGCCCACGTGTAGGCAAATCCCTGTCCTCCCCCTCAGCCTACTCGAGCCCAACAGTGGGGTGAGGTTCCTTCCCTGCCCTTCTCATGTGTGGGGACCCACCCAGGCACCCTGGCACTGCTCCCAAGGAACATGCCGTTCAGACCCACCTGGGACCCATCACACGGTGTCCTGTGTGGAGAGTTGACTCTGCCACCAGCACTGGTCCCTGCCCCCCTCCAGCATGGTCCATTCTCAGCGGCAGCAGCCCTRGGGTGGGACTGTGCCTGGCAGCACCATCCCAGGCTCTTACCTCACCCTGGTTCTCCGCAGAGCCCTGGCCCTTGCTGTTGGAGAGCTGCTGGATGCAGTTGTTGACGGCGATGCTGCTCTTGCCAGGTGCCAGGTCCTCCTCGGGGATCTCCACCCAGCCCAGGGAGCGCACAGCAAAGCACTGAGCAGAGATACGTGGGGCTGCAGTGCCACGGGCACAGCCACCTCCATGCCGCACCCCTCACTGTGCCAGAGTGGTCACCCCTGCTCTGGCTCCCATCCACGTCCCTGCCAGCTGCCACCCTCCTCCCCTCGTGCCAGCACAGCCCACGATGCGGCAGAGAAGCTGGCAGGTGCGGTACCTTGGAGCCGGGCTCTGCGCTGTGCTGGAAGTCATCTCCATGCCAGGACAGTGAGTGCCTGCAGAGGGATGGGGCAGTGAGGGGAAGCTCCTTCTGTGTGCTCCTGGGTCRCCCAGGGAAGTGTCAGGATGCCCTAGAACTGGCAGACTCCCATGCCACCAGCTGGGAAACATCCCATAGGGGTACCCCAGCATGGTCCTGCTGGTTTCAGCATGGGGGTGCTGCTCTGGAGGGGAKCACCAGGGCCCAGAGCCCAGCACCCAGCGCTGGTCACCCATGGTACCCCACAAACAAAGCACAAGAGTAGCTCTACCTCCGGGACAGTGAAGCCATGGGGCTGGGAATTGGCCTGTCCTTTGCTGAGTGCTTCGCTGCAGGGGCCTGGCATTCCTGGGAGAGAAGAGGAAAGGGGTGAGGGCTGCAAAGGAGTCTGTCAGGAGGCACCAGGTAGGAGCCCTCCCTCCCAGAACAGCAGCAATCTTGTGAGCATCTTGGATAGCCAAGATGAGTCCAACTAGGATGAGCCCCAGGATGGGGCTGGAGCCTTCCAAGGAACTTAATCCCAGACATGAATGGGCTGAGCAGAACTTTGAGGTGACAAAGGTAGGGTGGATTGGTCCAGCCCCCCTTCAAGTGGGGACTGGACCAATCATGCCCAGAGGGCCKTTCAGCAGACTTTTGCCGGGGTGGAATCTAATAACACTAGTGCTTACACCCCCTGCCCACATTCCCTACCCTTCCCTGGAGTGTCTCATCTCCATCAGCCTCCGAGTGCCCTCCTGGGCTGGTGGTGCGTGCAGGGTGCTGCCACTGTGTTGTGCCTGTTGGCACATGCCAGTAATAGGTACCCAGAGAGTCACAGATTTTYCTCCAGCCTGGAGGGAGGTCGGGGTCTGTCTCCAGGCTCTGGTCGCTCCAGAGGTTGTCTGTGCAGAGAGAGTGTGTGAGATACAGGGTGGAGAGGAAGATTCCCCAACTTTCTTGAGGAGCCAACAGCTTTGCCCAGCAGGGAATGGGTCCTGCAGTGGCCTCTGGGTGCGTGGCTGGGCGCACGGCCCACAAGAGGAGCTTGGTGAGGGAACATGGCACGATGCCAGCGAGGCTGCGGTGATGGTGGACCCTGGTGTAGGGAACTGCCTCKCTGGTTCCCCGGCGGGACAGCGGAACCCCGGCGGGGCACAGARGGCAGGGGCAGCCTGGGCCTGGCTGGCCGGGAACCCTTCGGGGCACCCAGGCACGGCCTGCGGCCACCAGACCAGTGCTCCCCTGCCCTCGGCCGGGAAAGGGGCCGGGACAGACGCCAGGGTCCCAGGGGCAGAGCACTGTGCGCCAGGGGCTGCAGCCGGAGGGTGTGGTAGCCGTGGCCCCCGCACCCCCAGTCCTGCGCGGGCACCGACTCGAGCCCGTGGCGCAGCACGGCCGGAGCGAGCCCGGGCCCGCGGGGGTGGCGCGCTCCGACCGGGCGGGGCTGTGGGGCCGGGCGGGGGTCCAGGGGGATGGGAGTCCCGGAGGTGGGAGGCTGGGGGTTCTCCGGGGATGGGGGGACCTACACATGGAGGTGGCCCTGGAGTGGATGAGCTCCCGGCGACCTTGGCGGGGCGGGGAGCGGCGGGGCCGGGCCGGGAGCCGCGGGCCCCGATCAGCACCGCGGACAGCGCCGGGCGCGCCCGCCGCTCGGACCCYGGGGCACGGCCCCGCAACTCGGCCTTGGCACCGCAACCCAACCCCCGCCCCGCAACTCGTCCCCGGTCCCGCAACCCGACACCGGCCCCATAACCCGGCACCGGCCCCTCAACTCATCCCCGCTCCTGCTACCCGCCCCRGAGCCCGCAGGTTGTGTCCGCCCCCCCCTGCCCGCCGCGCTGACCGTCGCAGTTGACCAGGACGATGGCCAGCATGTAGTCCTTGCCCAGCATGGCCTCGGCGCCCACCCGGCGCGGCGCTCCCGCCGCTGCCTGCCCAGGCCCGGACCCGCGGCGGCTGCGGCGGGAGGGGCGGGACAGGGGCGGGCCGGGGGCGGGGGCTGGAGAGAGCCGGGGGGTGTGCGGGGGAATCGCCCTGATGGAGCTGGGGAAGGGGCGGGAGTGTCCGGGGCCCTTGGGGTGTGTCTCGAGGCAGAAAATAGAATCCTGGGGAGGAAAGGGSCTTATGGGGCTGGAAGGCAGGTTTCTGAGCGCGACAACAGAGCCAGGTCAGCTCCTTGTGCCCTCAGGTTCGTTCCCTTCTTCTCCATCCACTCTTAGGGTTCCTCCATTCCCTTCCCTATCACCATCATTCMTCTCCACCCATGCTTATCCCATGTTCAGTCTCCATCCATGCCCAGTTCCGCCCATTCCCCTCTGCCTGTGTCCAGCCCGCATCAGTGAGT